CCCCCCCCCCCCCCCTTTCCACTTCCCAGACAGGAGTTTGTTGAGTCTCAATGTTAATTTTAGGAATCACCAGTGTCCCTCATGGTAAGCCAAGGGGGAATGTGGTAGGAGTAGTGATATTGCTAAGTAATGCTTTGACTTCAGTGTCCCAGCCTACTTCCTTCCTAGGCTGGAACTATTGCAAAGAGGAGAGGGGGGCTGGTTTTCTGTTTGTTCATTTCTCCTCGCTGGCCCTGGACCAATCTATCGCATTAAGATCTCTGTGCATTTTTGGTATGGTCAGGCCATCCCTGCCTGCACAGTGCTTTAACATTACATTCAGTCCATTGCTCATTTCTAAGAAAATGTTTTCATCAGTTGTACTTCGTTTTTTAAAATCACTATCAGATAGTCACTATTTACGGCCAAGATCTTCTGCTGCTCCTTTTTTATTACTTGTTTCCTCAGTGTGCCCAGAGATGGCAAGGGTGGACGTTCTCATAGCCATTGGTTTTCCTTTACTCAAAAGAAGTTCTCTTTAAAAACTGAGACAGACTTTTAAGTGGAAAGTGTGTGGGCAACCAAACAAATATCCACTCGCACGCATTACAACGACCCACGTCAGGGTGTCATTCACCTTTTTACCCCCGCACGATTCTTTCCTAAGTGGAACTATTTCAAACCTTCGGCGGCGCGCTTAGTTTACAGCCCGGTTGTGTGGAGTGGATTTTCATATTCCGTCATGAGGATGCTTAATCCTGCCTCTTGGGCCTCTGCCCTGGATTCTCGGGCAGGGAACAGTCAGACCCTAACTGGACTGGCTGCCCTTTACTCTTGGAGGCTGGTTTTTAAAAAATACAAGGGTAAGCAAAAGTAGGCTTACAATGGTGAGTACGGGAAACAGAGTTTATTTTTGCATTACTAGGTATGTATTATCGTAGTATTTATTTGTTTTATGTAAACCTTCTTTTGCCCACCCCCGTACATCTGCTCCAGCCTGGCTCCGCCGTCAGACTCCATTCATGACCTGGTTACCTAGGTGTCTTCCACAACCTTCACCTTGACACCTTCGGAGCTCTGCCTGTGGCCCGGCAGCGATTCCGATGCTGGGTGACAGGGAAATCGGGAAGGGCAGTCTGCCCCCTTGTAAACCCACCCCTGTTCAGGGGACACCTCAGGGATCAGGTGAGGAAGTGGAGTCTGAACCTATTTGCCATCTCTTTCGAAACTGACTGCTCTGTTCTTTCTCTCTCTGAGCAGAAGCTAGCTTATTACTCCAAGATGCAGGAAGCCCAAGAGTGCAACGCCAGCCCCAGCGACAGCAGTGGCAGCTCCTCTTTTTCCAGCCAAACCCCGGCCAGTATAAAGGAGGAAGAAGGCAGCCCGGAGAAGGAGCGCCCACCAGAGGCCGAGTACATCAACTCCCGCTGCGTGCTCTTCACGTATTTCCAGGGGGACATCAGCTCCGTGGTGGACGAGCACTTCAGCAGGGCCCTGAGCCAGCCTAGCAGCTACACCCCAAGCTGTACAAGCAGCAAAGCACCGAGGGGCTCTGGGCCCTGGCGGGGTGAGTATCAGGCTCCACTGGCGAGGGCCAAATGGAGAGCCCCCTCAGCCTGGGGTCCGCCTAGAGGGGCTCAGGGGGATGCAGCTGAAAGAACACTAGGTGCCAGAGAAGAAGTGAGGAGGGGCATTTGGGAATGGGTAAGGAAATCGAGGAAGGAATAGGTACAGGCCTAAGCTCTCTCCTCCAAGAGGCAGAGGCGAGCAGAGCGGTGACCTAGATAAAAACACACCAGCCTTGGAATTGGGAGGACTGGTTTGGTGTGTTGGTTCCACCACTTCCTAGCAATATGACCTTGGGCAAGTCTCCTAACCTCTGTGAGGTCACTCTATTTACTGGCCTCTAAAATTAGAGTAATACTCTTCCTCTTAACTATCCCTGGAGATGGCCCTAAGACAAACAGAAAAATGTATGTAAATGCACTGTGGGAATTGAGGGTTCCCATACTCTCCAAGGCCAGGAAGAGGGGGGAGAACCTTCACATACTACAACTTACAGGGCCCCTACCCAGTTTCTGAAAATTTGTCCAGAAGAAATGGTCCTAAGCCCCACTGCAAGCAAAACCCACTGAAGAAAGTCTCTTAAAACCTGTCTGTGCCTTTTGTCAGGTTTCAATTACTTGGGAAATCTTGAAGCAGAAAACATTTTTCAATAAGCAAGTAAAGTAACAAAAAAATAAGAATTTAGGTACAGCCAGAATATCTCTAAGGGTGTTCCCCAAAACACACCCTTCTTGATTGCTCTACCCTTCCCAGAAAGCATGCTTTATCTGGTTTGGGGCAGTGATTTCTTGGATAGGTCAGCTAAATTTCCCTTCTGTTCTGAAACCTGAGCCCCTTTTATTACCAAGACAAGGGTAGGGTTAACTATTTGTAAACTTTCTCACTAAGCTTAGTTTTTAATGTGTACCAAGCTGAGAAATCAGGACTTTTTTGTTAAAAGAAAACAAATATTGCATTTTGGGGCAAATGACCACCCTTACCCTCCCTTTTTTTTCCTTGAGTCTGACAGTTTGTAAAAGCCTTGCCTAGACAAGCTCCAAAAGCATCAGTTTTAAATAAAGAACATTCTTTTTATTATTCAGGTACTTAAATATTTTAATAGGAAGATGTTCATTACTTTGAACGTATTTTTAAAGTATTTTAAATTATCTAGTATGTGTACAGATGCATTCCCCAGAGGTGCTCAATAAAGGCCTCTTGAATTAAATGTCTTTCTTTCCCTCCCTCCTCACTAAAGCCAACACATTTTATCTAAATGCCATTCTCTTAAAGTGCTTCCAGACTCTCGGGGTCAACAGTGATACTGAAAGTAATAATAATAATAATAACAGCAATAATAATGATATAAGTGTGGCATCCACACTTTGATGCAGAAAGTTTGTTAATCAAAACGTAAAAGAACTTTCCTTCCTGCCCCTTTGTGCAAATAATACAGCTGCCCTGAGTGTGTCTAGTTCACTGTTTTGCTCGAGTTCTTGGAAAAAAAATATTTGGAAGAAGGTTTCTAGAAAGGAGGCTAATAATAGCAAGACTTTGAAATATGTCGATGGACTTCTAGTCTCTCAGAGACACATTTTCAAGAGCGAGGGAGGCTGAAACGCGAGAGGGGGTAGTGAGATGGCAGGGCGGCCGACCAAGAGCGGGGCGACGGAGCTTCAGCGGGAGGCCGGCCGCCCCCGAGGCCGCTCACGCGCAGCTGGGCGGAGCGCCCTGAACCCCGAAGCTGGGGCCTGGGGAGGAGGTCTCTCCGCCCTTCCTCTCCCAGCCGGTCCACGGGTTTGCGCACCGCACACGTCTGCAAAATCCGAGGGAACGGACCTGCACCCATAGGGCCCCCCACTTTGCAGCGCCCGTACCTTGAGTTCTCAGGCTACGGCCCCCTTAGGAAGAAAGGCACCGCCCCGAGGCTAGGCTGCGACTCTCGGGCCGAGGGCGGGCCCCGCGCTGGCCGCCCGCCCGCC